CGGGCGGGGGGGGGGTGATTGCTGCCGGAGGAAAACAACCGTCCCAGCGCCTGTCAACGGATTTAAAGGGAGCCCGAGGCTGGTGAAGGGGAGTTCGCTCCTGCCCCATTGTGGAAAGGGGGCTTTTTGGTCGGAGGAGTTCGACGTCGCGTTCTTAAAGGGGAAGCTGGCTGGCCTGATTACGGAAGTGGCTGGTGGGATTTAAACTCTGGGTTCTTAAAGGGGATGTGGTTCCTGAAATGGACAGCGCCTGTCAACGGATTTAAAGGGAGCCCGAGGCTGGTGAAGGGGAGTTCGCTCCTGCCCCATTGTGGAAAGGGGGCTTTTTGGTCGGAGGAGTTCGACGTCGCGTTCTTAAAGGGGAAGCTGGCTGGCCTGATTACGGAAGTGGCTGGTGGGATTTAAACTCTGGGTTCTTAAAGGGGATGTGGTTCCTGAAATGGATTCCAAGAAGCGGTTTCACTCCGGTTTCTTAAAGGGGCAGTGACCCCTGCGGGAAGGCAGAGGCTGCGCTACCTGGATTCGCACGGGGGGAAGGTGACCTGCCCAAAGAGCGAGCCCCAACTGCTGGCCGAAGCTGGAGCCTTAAAGGGGAAGTCGCCCGTCTCCCCTCCCCCGACGTGTTTCGCTGCTGGCCAGTGACCAGAGTGACCCTCCCGGCAGAGCGCCTCGAGCCCACGCACTTAAAGGGGAAGCTAAACCCCAAGCGCTGCCCCCCAGTGCAATTTTTTGTGGGGGGGATTTAAATCGAGCCTGCTGAAGGGGCCCCAATCCGGCTGGAGGAATGTGAGGCCTGATTTAAAGGGAAGGCCTCTGCGAGACCCCGCCTCAGCCAGGTCCTCGCCTGCCCTTAAAGGGGAGGCCCTTGGAAAGAGACAGTTGCAGTTCCTTGTGGCAGTGATTTAATCTGAATTAAAGGGGAGGTGCGCCCCTTGGCCTGCCCCCCGGGCTTGGAGTTTATGTTAAGGGGCATTCGACCTCTCCTACTTGAAAGGCCGGCCTTAAAGGGGAGCACGCACCGAGCGGCCCCTGTGGTGGTCTGAAGGAGAAGCCACCCCCAAAGAAACAGCCACCGGGGTTTTGTGTTGGGGGGCCCTAAATCGGATTTCAAAGGGGAGACGCACCAGCGTGTGTCAAAAGCCACTTTAGAGGGGAGGTTGCCAGCAAGTGTTTAAAGGGGAGGACAAAGACACACCCCACTTTCTGGGGAGCACCTCCCACCTCTGGATATTCACCAGTCAGCGCCCAGAGGCGAGAGGAAGGACTCAGTTGAGAATAGCTGCCATGCAGCAGGCGGGAGAAGGGTGAAGGGCATCGCAGGAAAAGACTTGGCCAGGGACAGCATGGAAGCAACTGCAGCTCCTGCCCCCTGCTGGAGTGGGGGAGGTGGCCGGGCCCGGCGACTGCGGCGCTGCTCGCGGCGGGGCCGGGGGAGCCCCCGGACCCCACCCAACGTCGAGGGGGGCGCCCAGGGGGCCCCGCCCACCGTGGCGTCCTCTCTTCCTCCTCAGACTCGGAGAGTGAAGGCCCTGCCCCACCAGCTCCTGTGGCACCTGGCAAACCCCGGCGCCGGCCCTTACGCCGGAGGACGAGGCCATCAGGCTCCTCTTGCAGTCACGAGGAGGAGGAGGAGGAAGAGGACTTGATTGATGGCTTCGCCATTGCTAGTTTCATCAGTCTGGAGGCACTGGAGGTGAGAGACAGATTTGCCTTCAGCTTCAGGCATTATGGGATACAGGATACACGTGGCAGAGCCCGCTCCAAGCAATATTTAGCTGTGTGCAACACACAAACAAACACCACACCCGAAACAGACAATTGTAGGCAGCCCAGCTGGCACTGGGTGGTTCGATGTGTTTGGGTTCTGAAGTAATCCGTGTATAGCCATGGAGATTGGTCCATGCTGAGAGATCCTAGGGACTGGGATATAGTGGAGAAGATGGGGCCATGTCTCTGGGATGGTGGTTAGGATGTAGTGGGGGGACTGGGATGTGTCTTGATGCTTGAGGGTAGGCATATAAACAGCTCTTGGGCTGTATCAGTGCTGGGCAAGGGATCTCAGTGTAAGCAGCCCCCTTCACTCCACCCCAGACAGTGGCCACTTCTCAGTGCCAGGAGCTCCCAAGGGCGGGGTATAGTAGGAGGGGAGGGATATAGCAGAGACACAGGGCCTGAGATGCAGGGTGCTGTGGCCAGGAAGGTTGCTTTCCTTTGGGAAGAGGACCTGTATCAGGCTGCAACAAAGATCTCTTCCAGTTGAGATGTGAGGCAGGGATTCCTGGTTTCAGTAGTGCAGGGTGGGGAGCTCTCTGAGCTGTGTGTTCCTGTTCTGCTTGGATTCAAACTTGTTCCTCTTGTCAGTCAGGACTGATTAGGAATTGAGGCGTGAGCCCTGGAGTGATGGTTGAACTCCAGTAGAGCAATTATAATCCACCATGTCCTTCCCCATCTCGACGCCAGGCAGGGGATCCCTCCATAAACAGCTCCTGGGCTGTGTCTCAATGCTGGGCAAGGGATCTCTGTACAAATGACACCCCTCCCCCCCATTCCAGCCCAGAGGTGGCTGCATCTCAGTACAGGATGAGGGGACTCGTTGGGGTGGCTGGGCAGGTGTCATCTGTCCTCGAACTGATTCACCGTCTCCTCCTTCCCACAGAAGGACACAACATTGAGGACCCCCGAGCGGCTGGAGCATCGGCTGAAGCACTCGGGGAAGCGGAAGCGGGACGAGGGGAGCGGCTCAGAGGAGGAGGAGGGCCGAGACGAGAGCTCAGAGAAGGGGTGTGGGCGGCATGTGGGGGAGCGGGCGCTGAGGAGACGCAGCAAGAGGAGGAGGAAAGAGGTGAGGAGGGGGGCTGGACAGGATGCGGTTGCAAGGGAGTGTGGGCGGCTTGGTGAGATGGCGATGCAGTGGCAGGTGAGGGGCTATGAAAAGGGGATGCTGGAGAGGGCAAGGGTTTGGCAGGGGGCTGCTGGGGATGGTGAAAGGGTGGGCAGGGGGGGTGTGGGGGCTGGAGGAGGACTGCAGGGGGCTGGGTTGCGGGAGGAGCTGGGCACACACTGTGGGGACATCCCGACTCTACCCAGCAGGGGCGATGCTGCCAATCATACCTTTTGTCTTCCACAGGCCTCCCTCCGCTCCTACTTGGAAACAGGATACATAGTAAGTGGCTCCCTCGCGCTCCGCCTCTCCCCCCTTTGCTTGGCCCACGGCACCCCCTAGGGGCAGGCTCGGGCAGCTCGCCCTCCGCTCATCCCTCCTTTGTCTTTCTCCCTTGCAGTGCGACACAGAGAGCGACCCAGGGGAGCAGGTGAGAGGCCCCCAACCCTCCCTCTTTCTATTCCCCCCCAAGCCCCACCCACCCTCCCCTCTCCTCTCCTCATACCCCTCCCCACTGGTAGGCGCGTTAGGAAGGGGAGCTGAGGAGAACCTGGTGGGGCTCAGGGATGGTGGGGGGATCCTGGCATGTATTTGGCACCAAAAGGGTCCCCACAGCCAGTGATGACATGAGTCTATTTCTCTCCCTGTTAGGCCTCCAATGATGACCTGGATCAATCGTTCACTGCCCCTCTCCTCTCCTCATACCCCTCCCCACTGGTAGGCGCGTTAGGAAGGGGAGCTGAGGAGAACCTGGTGGGGCTCAGGGATGGTGGGGGGATCCTGGCATGTATTTGGCACCAAAAGGGTCCCCACAGCCAGTGATGACATGAGTCTATTTCTCTCCCTGTTAGGCCTCCAATGATGACCTGGATCAATCGTTCACTGTCTCAACTGCTCACTTTAGCACAGCACCCCCTCCTCCCCCAGTGACATTAGCTGGGGTACAGTTTGCACTGTGGAACAGCTGTGCCCCCTTAATTCTTTAGCTCGGGGTGCCTTTCACACTGCTTTGCTGTAAGAACAGCCACTCCTGGTCCTGCTCCCGCACAGCTCCTAGTAGCATGCAGATCACTCCCAGCTAATGACATGAACACTCTGGCCAACCACTCCTGAATGACATACAGGGCAACATACCAGCAAACCCCCAGTCCCAGACTTTCCCCCAGAAACATGCAGCTTGTGCTGCTCAGCTCCCTACTGGATGATACAAGCTCACAGGAAGTCCACAATGGAATCACTTCAGTCCAAACATGCCGGTGTAGGTAAAGCCACAAAACAAGTTTATTAACTACAGAAAGGAAGACTTTAAGTAATTACAAGTAACGAGGCATTCAAGTCAGAATTGGGTACAAAGAACACGAATGAGTAAAAGACAAACTAACACTTACCGTAACAAGCTAAAGCAGTCCTGTGGCCTACCAGTGGGGACGGGGATGATGAGAGGGGAGGGTGAGTGGGATTTGGGGGGAAATAGACTTTTAACCTGACTGGGTATTCATTAATGAACTTAGAAGTAGTCATTCTTCTACAGAGGAATTTCACAAGCCAGCTACAGAGTGTGGAATTGACCTTTGTGTGCAAATTTGACGCCACCTCCCTTGGCCTGAACAAAGACTTGAACTGGTTAACATATTATAACACCAGCTTTCCTTACATTCAACACCCTATTGACTCGAAAGCTAAGTAAGGGGACTCTTCCAGCCCACACAGTTGGCCTCATTACCCCCAGGGCTACAATTGACAGGCAATATTTTTTCTCCCTCTCCCTTATTCTGAGAGTCCACCCCTTTTTTCTCCACTGAAGATCATCTCATCTGAAGAAGTGGGCTTTGCCCATGAAAGCTTTTAGTCTCTAAAGTGCCACAGGGCTACTCATTGTTTTTAAAGTTACAGACTAATACATCTACCCCGTGAGACTTAAAAAGCAAAAAGGTTTTTCTCACCAATAAGCATATAGCAGTCTGGCTGGATTGCTTTGGCCAGGACCTTCTCTCATTTCATAGCTACCATGAGTAGAGATGAGGGGGAGAGGTAATTTGAAGGTCACTTACTCATTCTTGTATCCTTTTCCCTTCTTTGAGGATTACTTGAAGGTGGTACATTGAGGTGATAGGTACTCTGTTTCTATGGAAACTCCCAAATGCAGCTTTGCCAGTATGTAAAGTTCTTGCTCAGACCCTTCTCCTTGCCAAAGAATGGCTTCTTATCTATGTAATAGTCGTTGATGGTTCATTGTTTGTGCTGATAACTGGCCAGGGCCATCCCTCTGAAGAACTGGTTTGGGCTTGCTTTTTAAACTTGGACTATGTTACAGCAATGTGCTGCAGTAGAATTTAATAACCTCATATACATTGCTCACACACATTTTACCAGGACAATAATGTTCAGCAGATTATGAATTTTCAAGTCATATTTCAGAAGACATTTTCTACACTGAATGGCTCTAGTTTTGTAAAAAGGATGACAATGGGATGCAATCTCACAACCCCCTAGCGCTGCATCGGGGCCTAGGACAGCATAAGTTACTGGGAGAGCACCTCCGCCTGAGCTCCTCCTCTTGAGAGAGCACCACTGTGCTCCATGCAGCCCATGCTGTAGTGAGGCATCAGCAGTGAGGAGAGTGCCTCTTGTTCCTGAGTGGTCTCTTACTGGGTGCTGTCTCTCTCCTCAGCCTCAGGCCCAGTTGGTGTAGTGAACGGGAGCTGTGCAGCCAAACTCTCTGTGATCCACAAGGTCTCGGGGCTGGAGCGGAGCCAGGAGCGGAGCCATGAGGCCGACGGGGACCCCTTGCTAGTGCCTTTCCTGCCCAAGGACCCGCTTTCTCAGGCAGCCCCAGCCCCTCCTGTGGCTCCAGCCCGGCCCCCTACTCCTCCAGCTCCTCCGCCCTCCCGGACACCCACCACACCCCAGCCCCGGGGCCAGCCGCCGGCACCACAGGGGGGCCCAGCACCCCACAGCCTGCCTCAGCCTGCTGTGCATGGGAAGGGAGCACCCTTCGCCAGCCCCACGCCTCCGGGGACTTATGGAGCAGGGCTGGACCTCAGCATGGCCGGGTGAGTAAGTGATGTGGTGGGTTCCTGCTGTCTTCTTTCCCCCTTCATTCTGTCTCCTTGTTCCCCTCCTTTTCATGCTCTCTCTCATTTGTGCTTCCCCCCCTTGTCCGGTCGCACATTCCTTTCCTGGTTCCTTCCTCCACATCTTCCCCCACTTTGTGTTCATGATCCCCCCACTTGCACTTTCTCCTTTTGCTCCATTTCATTCCCTTTCCCCAAATTCTTTCCTTACTCTGTCTTGTTTGTTCCCCCTCCCTCCGCTGCCCCCCGAGCTATTTGTTCCCTCAGTCTGGGTTGGTGTCTCTCATTGGCTCATGTTTTCTGGCCTTTTCCCCTCATTCGTATTCCCCCTAGTTTTTCTGGTTCTATCTCGGTGGTTCTTTCCTCCTCTCCCCCCTCCCCCTGTCTCTCTTGTTCCCTCCCCTGGGCTGACTCTTACTCTCTCTCTGTCTTTTTTCAGGTGCAGCCGGAGCAGCGCACATGGCAAGCCCCTGCTACCCCCGTGCTCTTCCTCCTCACAGCTGGCCCCTCGCCCCTCTACCCCCTCGCTGGCCCTGCCCCCCCATGCTTTCCCTTCCAGCCTGCGGCCCCCTACCCACCATCCCCCGCCCCTCTTCCCCCCATCTCCTGGCCTGCCCCCGCCCCCTCCTCTGCTCCAGGTTGCCGGGCACCCGGCCGCAGCTGCTGCCTTATCCGGTAAGTTGGGAGGGCTGGAGTGTGTGTCGGGGTCTCTGGGAGAGGCTGGGGAGCTGGAAGGGGGGGCTGGCTGGCTCAGTCCCATCTCTCTGGGGAAGGGGCTGGTGGAGGGGGGGAAGGAGGAAGATGGTTTCCCATGCGTCCAGGGGAGAGGGGCCAGCAGGTGGATCGCATCTCTGGGGGCATGGCGGGGGGGGGGGGTTCATTTTTCAGGAAGAGACTGGCAGGGGGGGGCCCATCTCTCTGGGAGCTATGCGGGGACGGGCTACAAGGGGCTCCCATCGCTCCTAGATAACTCTGCCCCTGCTCTCTCCTCTCCCTGCTCAGAACAAGAGCTGATCCGGCAGGGCCTGAGCTCGCGGTTCCTGACGGCGCAGGGCGGGGCCGACATGGGGGCCGCCGCCATCCGCCCGCTGGCCTTCCAGTTCCACCAGCACAACCCCCAGCACCAGCACACCCACCAGCACACGCACCAGCACTTCACCCCCTTCCCGCCAGGCATGGTGCCTGCCCCCGCCCCCGCCATGGTGAGTGACCTCAGGGCAGAAGACATTCTGCCTCGCAGGGTGGGGGAGGTGTAGGAAGGGACATGGGCAGTGCTGTGTTGGGGGTCCCTGATAACCTGCTTTTTCTTTCCTAGTTTGAGAAATACCCAGGCAAGATTGATGGGCTTCTGAGGCATAACGTGAGTGCGGGGGTTCCTGGGGGCTGGGATATTAGGGGGGGCAGGGCTGTGTCCTGGTGCAGGGGTTCCTGGGGGCTGGGATATTAGGGGGGGCAGGGCTGTGTCCTGGTGCAGGGGTTCCTGGGGGCTGGGATATTAGGGGGGGCAGGGCTGTGTCCTGGTGCAGGGGTTCCTGGGGGCTGGGATATTAGGGGGGGCAGGGCTGTGTCCTGGTGCAGGGGTTCCTGGGGGCTGGGATATTAGGGGGGGCAGGGCTGTGTCCTGGTGCAGGGGTTCCTGGGGGCTGGGATATTGCGGGGGGGCAGGATCGTGTCTCAGTTTCAGGGTGGTTCTTAGAGAGGTGTCCCTATAGGTGCTACCCTGTAAGTGTGGTTTTACCCCCTGCTCCTCTGATTGGAGATTTCTGAGAGCAGAGTCTGGTCTGCTCACCTGCGTGTGCTAGTCTGCCTCCTGCCCCAAGACGTTGTATAGCACTGCCCAGCCAACCCCCTCAGCTGCCAGACAGAGCTCTGGCAGTGGTTCCCACTGATAGTACCTCAGCTGTGTCCCGCTTTGTTACCGTTGGTGGTACTTCGTGTTAGTGTCAGTACAGTATTTCGTGAGTGGTACATATAGTTTCCTAGATAGGAAAAAGTAACTTTTAAAAAACCTGTCCCACTTGAATAAATATTAGTTCGTAGATACGATAGTCCCTGTTCACTGGGAAGCCGTGCCCAGCTCGGGCGGTGTCAGACATCTGCTTTGCCGGGAAGCGATCCTGGTAAGTGACGGGCATTGCCAGTGCATCAGCTGTCTCTGGGCATCGCCCGTTGCACAGGAGGGGAAGTTCTGTCGGCGTTGAAATCTAGAGCTAGAAAAATCAGGGACATCTAACTTCAGCTTCTCATGATGGAGCGCTCATGCCACCTGGCTTCTGACACAAGTTGAGGACCCCTCTACACTGGTGTCCAGGGAAATACACTTCTTCCACTGTCTCTCAGATGCTGTTGTCGAAGGCGTCTAAGAGGAAGATGCGCGACTCCTCTCATAAGCCTTCCAAAAGTTGTGCTTTGAGTTCGCCAGGTCTATCTCAAAAACAGTCAGTGTCTTCTGCTACGTGAGCACCATCCGTTCCCTGGTACGTCTCCACGAGGCTGCTGGTTCCTCAGGTTCCAAGGACGCCACTGCAAAGCCTCGGGCACAAAGACCTCCTCAGTACACTTAGCTGATCAAAGCAGCAAGAAGAGCAAGAAGAGCTCTTCCTCAGTACCAAAGAAATCTGTTTGGGCTCCAACCCCGCTTTCCCTTGGGGCAGCTGAGACTCTCAGTTCTGTCGGCTTCCTCAGCCACAGCTACCACAGTGCAGACCATGGATGTGGAAATGGCAGCAGACTTGGTACCACAAGAGTTTTTCCCCCAGGGCCTCACTGTATCTGTCCCTTAATTCTCCACCTCCTGTCTCCAGCATATTTTCAGTATCAAGGACACGGGGATCACTAGATGTTCACCTGAGAGGTGAAACCATCATTCTGATTTCTCCAGGCATTCCGCCATTTCATAGTGAGTTTGAGGAAGTGGGGTTCTGATGTAGACCTTGCCTTCCCAAATATTGATCCAGAGCTGACCTCCTCACCGGTATAGAGGCCCCCTCCAGAGGTATATCTCCATTTATGATATGGCACATCTCATAGAGCTGGAAGGGACCTTGAGAGGTCATCAGATACAGTCCCCTGCCCTCACTGCAGGACCAAGTACCATCCCTGATAGATTTGCCCCAGATCCCCCTCAAGGATTGAACTCACAACCCTGGGTTTAGCAGGCTAATGCGCAAACCACTGAGCTATCCCTCCTTGATGAGTCTGTGCCATGAGTGGTCATAAGGTCACAGCCACCACGTCGCTGGTGTGACCACCCGTGGGTGCCCCTCTTGTGTCTTCTGCATCACCTCCTTGGCCATACAAGGACCCTTGGGCAACCTATCACCAGCCATTTTCCAGGATTTCAAGCACCATCCATCATAAAAATAGGCAACTGTCATTGCCTGCCCTTCTAGGAGACCTGGTCCTCAAGGAGAAACGTTTGAGAAGGAGGCCAAAGCCAATGAAGAAGCCTCCTCCAGCGAGCATCTCTTCCTCTCTGGATGAAGCAGTCATGCCTGCTCCTCCATCCTTGGCCAATAACTTTGAGCAGTTCGGGATCTGGTCAAGAGAATTGCTGACTCCTCGCATGATCACCTCATCATAAGCTGCCTGCTGTCCTTCATTCACCCTTATCTGCCCACATAGCCTGGCCAGTCAACCAGGCTCTTCTGGACCCCACAAAGATCACCCGGCACAATTGCACCTCTATGGGTGTGAGAGGGGGGACAGGGAATGTTATGCTGCAGCAAAAGTCAGAGTTTATTTTCTCGTCTTTCGTTGGTGATCAACATGGTTAACTAATGTGGGAGGCAGCACCGTGCTAAATGCACACTCTATGAAAAGTCATAAGGACCTACATTTGTACATGGTGCCTCTGTGCTAGATTGCGACACATCTGGCTGCTCACATGGCCCAAGGTAAGTGGGCATCAGAAGAGACCATGCTACACATCAACCTCCAGATAAGCCATTCTTCAGTTTCTACTGCTGATCTGGAGCCAGCACATAAAGGCCAGGTGGACACCCTATCATCCATGTTCTGTATCCGTTGGCATGGAGAAACACGCTCCCCCTTCCTCTGCACACAACTCGGCAGCTTCAAAAATTGGTGCGTATGCAGTCGGACAGTCATCACAGTAGCCTGTCTTCCAGAGGCTCAGCATGTGAGTGTGGGTACTCTTGGCAGGGATGTCTTCCAAGACCATGCATGAGAAATAGATTCCAGCATATTATAGTACCTGTTCTGGGAACGGGGCACCTCTAGGATAGGCCCCAAAACTGCAGAAGGATGCTTGACTGGCAGATAGCAAGTTCCAATCCACCATAGTGATAACCAGGAAATGTGCCTAGTTTTGTTCCAGAGATGGACTGGGTCACCGATTCTTGTGGGATGCCTTCTGCCATCATTGGTCATCAGATCTGCTGCATATATTCCCCCTGGCTTCTCTGATAGTCAAAGTCCTCATCAAAATAAAGGACAAAGCCAGAGGCACCCTAAAAGTTTTGATCTGGCCCAGGTAAATGTAGGTAGTTTTCCTGATACAGGTGGCTGGCTGTTTTACCAGTCACTCTCCATGCTGCCTGCTTGGGAGATTCTTCATGCCTGTCTTGGAGTGCTTCCTCTTAACGCACAGCTGTTCCCTGGTTCACAGGATTCAAGACCCACTGCTCAGAGTGGGTCAGAAAGTACTGTTACAAATCAAAAACCACACTCAAGGTTTGTCTGTTGGGGTGACCTCAGACACATTCCATTGGCAACCTCATCACTGCCAGATACACTGGACTATATCCTAACGTTAAAAACGTCAGGGCAGTCGCTGTGCTCCGTTAGGGTCCACCTGGCAGCTGTCATGGCTTTCCATTCTCCGGTAGTGGGGTCGCCCACGCAACAGTAGTGAGGTTCCCTACGTGGTTCCGAAAACAAAATATATCAGTCCAGAATCCAGCTTGGAACCTCCATCTGGTCCTTGAGTGCCTTTGGAGATCACAGTTTAACCTGAGCTACCTGCTCCCTCTGTCATTGAAAACAACATTCCAGGTAGCAGTCAGATTGGCATGACTAGTTGAGGAAATAAGGCACTTCGTGGCCTAGCCCCCTTTCACAGAATTTTTTAAGGGCAGAGTCACATTACAACCTCACCCCAAATTTACATTTTCCTTTGCGTTCCATATTAGGCAACCAATTCACTTCCCAGACTTCTGCCCTGAGCCTCACCCAGATAAACAAGAAGCATCGTTGTACACTCTTGGCATTGGGAGAATCCTGGCCTCATATCTGGATAAGAGTAAACCCTCCAGAAAGACACCTCCCCACTCCTGCTCCCCAGACTACTAGTCTGACTCCAGGTAGCTCAAAAAGGCCTGCAGTCTCTAACCAAAGACTTACCAAGGGAATAGCCTTCTGCATTAATTCTTGCTACAAATCTTGTTAGATTCAGGCACCTCTGCACATGTGAACTCACTCTGCGGTTCATTTCCACCTCTGTGTGTCTCAAAATCATGCCTGTTGTGGAAAGATCTAAGGCCTCTACTTGGGCTGCTGTTCACTGAATGCTAGACAGTAACTCACAGCTCCGCCTCTGATGCTGTGTTTGGCTCGGCTGCACTTTCTTCCCCACCGGGCTCTACTGCAAAGCACGGGCTTTAGAGGGAACTGCTTGGTAGTCACTGGAGCGAGCGCTGCTAGGGACGCCCCTCAAAGACGTTGAGAAGCTTACTTGCCCTGTGCAGTAACTGGCCCTTCGAGACGTGTCCCCTTTGGGGTGCACCCCTCCCCGCCCTTCCTCCCTTCTGCTTCCAAGTTCTCTGCCACAGGGCTTCCTGGCTGAGGGGCGTTGGCTCAGACACGCTCTGTAACACGGCCCGGGGCAGGAGGCTAGTGGGTGTGTGCGGGCTGAATGGGCACGGCTGTGAGACATCTCCAATGAAAGGCACAGGGCGTGTTGGACACGGTCTACAGTGCAGCATCCATAGGGACGTGTCTCGGAGAACCACAGTCACTGCCCCGGGGAGGAACCATTTCTTCCCAGGGCGGGGATGTAGTTGTGGGGAACAAGGCAGCACCTGGGTGCTAGGCGATCCTAGGAGCTAGTATTTCAGATGGTAGGGGGATGGGCAGCGTCTCAGTGGCTGGGATATAGCCTGGGGAGGGGACCGTGTCTGGGTGCTGGGGTAGCTACGGGGGACAGGGCCATAGGGTGTCTGGGGGCTGGGATATAAGTAGGAGGAGGGGGACATGTCACAGGGCTGGGGAGCCAAGGTCCTAGGGTGCTGCTTATTCCCCAGGGACCAAGAGACCCCCTGCAGTGACGGCACCTCTCTCTGTGCCTTCTCTCCCCTAGTTCTACGCCACATTTCCTCCCACCGTGTCGGGCATCCCACCTGTCCTGCCCCCTGCTGTTTCCTTTGGCTCGCTGCAGGGGGCTTTTCAGCCTAAGGTGAGTGGGGAGGTAGACCCAGATTGGGAGGGAAACGAGTGCTAGAGCTGGGGCGGGTTGCTGGGATCCAGGACTTGTGGGTTCTATTCCCTGCTCTGGGAGGAAAGTGAGATCTTGTGGGTCAGACCTGGGGGTCTGGGAGCCTAGGGTCTAGGGAGGGATGGGGGAGAGGACTTTCCTGGCTTTGACTCTGGCTATGGCAGGGGGATTTTTTTGTGTGCAGACTCCTGACCCCTTGTTCTCTCCCCAGAGCACTAACCCAGAGCTGCCGTCGCGGCTGGGAGCTGTCGCCCCCACTTTATCCCAGAAAGGGGGTCAGGTGAGCAGGGCAATAGGCTGCTGGTGCTGCTGGTACGTGGGCACAGATCCCCCTCTAACCACCTGCTCTCTGTTTTTTGTAGCTCACGGACCCTTTCAGACCTTCCCTGAGGGTAAGTAACCACGTGTGCCAGTCCTGTTGCAGCAGGGAGGCTGTGAGAAATGGGGCGGGGGGATGGGGGGGGATAGGCCAGTGTGTGCCCAGCAGGGGGCGCAGTGGAGCATGGGTCACAAGCGGGGGATAGCGCACGGGGGGCACTGCCCTGGTGTGTCCCAGGGGCTGATGCTTTCCCCTTTTCCTTGTAGAAGCCTGGCAAATGGTGCTCCATGCACGTCCGCGTGGCCCACATGATCCTGCGGCACCAGGAGAAGATGAAGGTAGAGTCGTGTGGTGCCCTTTCTAGGTCCCAGTGGCACTGCAGGGGACATCAGATCCTGACCAGTAGCGCCCCCTGCAGTACCTGGGCGGGGATCCTGCACTCAGTCTGGAAGCACAATGTGTGGGCACCTTAGCCATAAAAAGACAAGGGAGGTGTCAGCTGAGTCTTAAATCTCTCCAGAATTCTACATTCGGTGGTGTCACCCTCTGCAGTGTGGCATGGGGGACTTGCTGCCCCCTTCTTCCCCTGGCTTTCAGTCCTCCCATTGGTGGGAGTTTTGATAATACGGTGTCATCAGAAAGGAACCCGGTTGGGTATCATTCAAAAGGCCTTTCTCCCGCAAACGCAACAGCCCCAGATATGACAAACCTAGAACAGTTACACGGTTCCTGTGACGCTAACCTGGCGTCCTTTTTTCAATGAGATTACAAGTTGGGAACAGGATTTTTTTATTTCTAATTTAACACGGGGATACGTTGGTTACATAAAAAAAGACGTTCTTTGGTAATCGTAGGGACGTTAGCCTTGACACACAGGACTGAAAACATGTTTCATCAGACTCCGCATTGGTGGCCTCTCCATCCCGACACGTTGTTACACTAATGGTTGTCCATGTGGCTCTTGCACATCTCTGTACAAGGCCGGCTGCTGGCCAGACATTTGCAGGCGGGTGATTATTTGGGCTTTGCACGTGAGCATTTGATGAGCTAAGGATGGAGTTGGGAATACGTGATATTTTGCACACAACTGGTGTGATCAGTTCTTCCTCCAAGATCCATCCAGGCCAGATTGGGGCAGGTATATTTGGATGCCCTTGATCATCTTGGAGCTAGGGATGTTAAATATTGATTAACTGAATAGTCGAGGAACCTCATGAATTCTTATTGGTTACTTGACTATTCTCTAGTCCTCGGGAGCAGGGCTGGCAGCCCTGCCACTCTGCACTGCTGCCTCTGTATCAGAGGGGTGGTTCTCTGTTTATCCCTTTTTCTAGATCATTTATTAGTATGTTGAAAGGCATTTGCCCCAGTGCAGATCTGTGAGAACATGCTATTTACTTTTCTCTCCATTCTGAAAACGGATTATTCTTACCCTTTGTTCCCTGGCTTTTAACGAGACCTTCCCTCTCATCCTGTAACAGCTTAGTTTGCTTAAGAATTGTTGATGAGGGAGCTTGTAAAAGCTTTTCTCTTTTCCCCCCCCAAACTTCCTCTATCAACATCTTAATATGGGTCAGTTCTTAAGATTTGTCACTTAAAAAGAAAGACTTAGGTGTGTGGGTCTCTTTTGCATGGTCTGCAATGAATTTCAATGTAAAGAATTAAGTTAGCTCCTCAGTGGTTTTGTCTTTTAGTGCTCCTTTAGCACCTTCATCCTCTACTGGCCTCACTTTTAGAAGGCTTCCTGCTTCTGATGTACTTAAAATATTTTGCTGTTTAGATTGTGTCTTCAGATTATTTTTGTTGTCTGCCTGATGATATTTTCACACTCAATTTGCCAGTTTGTTCCTTTCTGTTCTCTTCATTTGACCTCCAATTTTTAAATGATGCCTTTTTGCTTCTGATTACTATTTTTACTCCATTCTTTAGCCATGGCCGCATTTTTTGGGCCCTCTTATTATTTTTTTAATTTGCAGAATACATTTAATTTGAGCCTCAATTATGGTGCTTGTAAAAAGTTTCCCTGCAACTTGCAGATATTTCACTTTTGTGACTGTTCTCTCCAATTTCAAGTTAACTAGCTTCCTCATTTTTGTGTAGTTCTCTCTAATTTAAATGCTACTGTGGTGGGTTTCTTTAGTATTCCTCTTCCCCTCCAAGAATGTCAGATTTAATTATATTATGGTCACTATTGCTGTGTGATTCAGTTATATTCACTTCTTGCACTGGCTCCTTTGGTGCTCTTGAGATTAAGTCAAGAACCATCTTTCCCCTTATGGGTTCCAGGACTAAGCTGCTCCAAGAAGCCATCATTAATGGTGTTGAAAAGTATTACTTCTGCATTCCATCCTGACATGTACTCAGTCAATATGGGGATAACTAAAATCCCCTGTATTGAGTTTTCTGGTTTTATAGCCTTTCTAATCTCCTGAACTTTTACAATTCCCATTTTGGTTGGGTGGTTGGTGGTATATGCTGTCACTCTTCAAGCATGGAATTTCTGTCCATAGAGATTCCTTAGTACAGTTTATTTTATTTTAGATGTTTACCATATTTGGCTTTGTGCTTTCTTCCACCTACAGTGCCGTTCCCCCACTAGCACGAGCTAGTCTGTCTTTCCAATATATTTTGTACACTGCAGTTACCTTGTTCTGCCAAGTTTCTCTGATGCCTATGACATCAATATCCTCATTTAATACCAGGCACTGAAGTTTGCCCATCTTAGTATTTAGACTTCTAGCATTTGCATACAAGCACTTATAAAAATCTGTCACCTTTTTAATTGTCTGCCTTCATGAGATGTGTATCGAATGGAACTTTTTCATTTAACTGTTTTTCGAATTCCTGCCTGTACTTGACCAATTTCTATGCTCTCCTCTTTACTACAATATAAAGAATCGCAGTTACTAGCCCTCTGCATAGGCTATATCTGAACTGTGTGGTCCTCTGCACCTGTCTGCCTTTCTCCAACCCGTAGTTTACAAACATCGGTGAGTGTCAGATGTTTTGAGCACCTTTAAAACAAGAAGAGAGGTGAATCAAATGCCTGATAATAAAATAATTTGGTCTTCTAGTAGTGTCGCGTCTCGAAAAGCCATGGAATCCTGGTTGTGGATGGCACATAACGGTCCAAGCGATAAGAACACATCTTCATAGTTCCCAGGAGCTGGCTAAAACTGAAGTGATCTTGCATGTCCCCAAAGCCACAGGTAGAGCTGCTACTAAACTCTGCAGTTTTGCCTAAGACGCAAGATGTTCTGGATTCTTTTTGTGGGCCTGCCTCTGGAGAGTGGGATCTAGAACATCATGCGTCTTGTGCAAAAATAGGAATTCGGTAGCACTGCTCCTTCTGTGGCTTTAGTGGTTTGCAAAATAATTTTAGTCTTAGCCAGCTTCTGGGAGCTACGAAGGAATTCCACTGAACAACGCAAGACAGCAGCTTCAGTAGGGCCTGCAAGGCTGAAATTCTTCCATCAGTTGTTTGCACGCTGGAGTGCTACCTCAGCAAGAAATGCTGTTAACGCCTCCATCAGGAAAGAATGAGACAGTAGCTTCTTCATTGTGAAATTGGAGATGTTTGTGAAGTCAGTGATTTTTGTGTCTGACAGAGGCAATATCCAGGTATGTCTCCTCCCTGCTAATGTTAATTGATTTCCCCCACATATGTGTCAGAAATGAGCAGGAGGTCATCACGGGTCCTGTATTTTCTCTGTAACCTCCTAATGAAATGTTCAGCTAGATCTCGACAGAGTATTAACAGGTTTTGCGTTTGTCAGGAGCCTCTCTACCATCTAGGAGTGCTATGCCGAAAGACCTTTGCTGCTGTAAGGCATGGCTCGGGTTGTCAGTAGGTCCTGGCTTAGGAAACTCAAGTGAGATGTGTACTAGTTTGCGTCTTGCCTGGTACATAGATGTTGTTCGGTGACGTTCAAAGATGGCTTGTGGTACCATGACAAACTTATTCTTTCTCAAAGTGTCACAAAGGTCTGCATCACTCTGAGATCTGGATACAACCAGAAGAGTGGACAGTGACCTGGTTAGACTTTCCCTCTGACTGACTTCTTTGTGTTTGAGCATAGCTTTAGGCTACTGCTCTTCTGTGGTGCTATAGATTGACATCGTCTTGGATATGTGTTTGGGTTTTGAGGGCTTCCTACACGTCGTAGCCCAGCGTATCCGTTTGACCGGCACCTTTAGCTGTGTCATCGCTGGAGGCTGCTATTCATGGTTCCGGACCCTTATTGCAAATGGATTGGCAGGACAAGTTATCTCAGCAGCTAGCTTTACAGCTCCCCTTTCTTGGCATTTAACAACACCTAACAAAACTAGATGGGGCATGGCAACTTCTGGGGAAGTCATCCCCACCATGTGTAATGTTTCGGTCGCAATTCGACAGAATCTTGTGGTTGTGAGAGAAACCAGGAAAGCATTTGGATGCTGTAACGCTCACGGGTCCCCCAATGATTTTCAGTGCTCTGTTTTCATGTTCTGAGCGGTCGTCTGAACCAAGTGCACAGAAAGGAGCTGGCAACCTTTTAACGGCCCAAATTCCTTTTCTAAATTCCTCCCGGCCTTTCCACATCTCTTATTTCAGCAAAGAACGAAGCACAGAATATTTAGATACTTCGGGTGTATTCAGATAAGCATGGCCTGATGAAAGTCATTGTAGGGCATTTACAGAGCTAGCTGAAGCAATCTTAGCCCATTAGCAATTATCTGTGAGAACTCCTGGAGGAAGAGGGTGAGCTCCCAGAAGTCTGGAGCAGGACAGGCACTGTATCTATTTTTAAAAAGGGGAACAAAGAGGACTGAGGGAATTCTAGACTGATCTGCCTGACTTCGATCCCTGGAAAGATACTGGAGCGACTAATTAAACAATCCGTTTGTAAGTACCTGGAGGATAATAGTTATTAGGACTAGCCAGCATGGGTATCAGGAACAAATAATGCCAAATCAGTTTCCTTCAGGATGTGATACAGATCTTAGTCAGGCTTATAATACTGTCCACCAAATATAAGCAAACAGGGTAATGTGTTCTACATGAAATTACTGTAAAAGGGATGCACAACGGTGGAAAGATTGTAGTCAAGGAGCAGTTATCAGTGGTTTGCTGTCAAACTGGGAGGGCGTGTTTAGTGGTGTTTACAGGAGACATCCATGGTACTAGTCAGTATTTTCACAAATGATTGGATAATGGAGTTGAGAGAGTATTTATGAAATGTGCAGATGGCACGGTGCTGGGAGAGGTTGCAGGCACTTTGGAGGAAAAGGATTAGAATTAAAAACACGTTGCTGGAGGATGTATCTGAATTCCACGAGATGGAATGTAATAAAGATGAGTACAGAGTACCCCTCTGGGGAAGAAAAATGAAAGGCACAACTACCCCATGGGGAATAACTGCATGGTTGCCCTGCTGGAAAGGATCTGGGAGTTAGAGGAGGTCACAAAACAAATGAATCGAGAATGTGATGCAGCTGTGAGAGAGGCTCATATCATTCTAGGGCAGTGGTTCCCAAACTTTTCGGCATCACGCCCCCTTTTTGATTTTTTGAGAAACCTTCACACACCCCCCTCCCAAAAAACCCCAGCGAAACTTGGGATGGAATTGATGGGGTGTGTGTGGCTGGGTCGCTTCATGCCCCCCCTGGAAGGTCTTCAAGCCCCCTAGTTTGGGAACCCATGTTCTAGGGTGTGTTAACAGCAGTGTCCTATGCATGACAAGGGAGGTCATTGGACTGCTCTGTTGGGCACTAGTTAGGCCTCTGGAGTACTGTGTCCAGTTCTGAGCACCATGCTTTAGAAAAGATGTGTACGGGTTGGAGAGAGCCCAGAGGACCATAACCAAAATGATTAAGAAGTTTGAAAAAGCTGACCTATGAGGAAAGGTTTAAAAAAACAAAACAACCTGGGGCATGTTCAGTCTTGAGGAAAAAGTTAACTGAGAAGGGACTGGCTGACAATCTTCAAATGTGAACAGGGCTGTTCTGAAAAGGACAATTATCGGTTGTTCTCTGTGTCCACTAGAGGTAGGACAAGAAGCAACAGGCTTAGCTTGCAGCCAGGGAGCTGTAGCTCTAAGGGTAGGGAAGCTCTGGGCCAGGCTTCCAGGGGAGGTGGAGGATTCCTCAGCACATCTCTGGAGATTTTTCAGACAGGATTGGACACACCCTGGTCTGGGGTTACTTGATCAAAGGCCCCCGAGCCTTCGTAGAAGAGGGGACAGGCAGGCAGCGCATGACGGTGGCTAGTGGAGGGTGCATGTCAGAGGTTTGTGGGGCATGGGGCTGCCCCCCATGTATCTTCTGCCTCCACCTCTTGACTTCCCTCAGCAGTCAGTCTACAAAGCAGGCAGCAGCACTGGCAGGGAAGGGGAAGCAGCCCCGTTTGGGGGGAGCTCAGTCAGCTGCCCTGCTACTTCCTCCCTCCCCACACTGCAGGGGAGTGCAGCTGCTGGGCATCCTGGCCAGAGGCATCCTGAGGACATGGGAGGGGTCCAGGTAGCCCCCCATGTATCGCCTCAGGAGGGCCACAGAAGCTTCCTGTGCCTCTTCCTTCCTAACCGTTGCACTCCCCTGCTATACCCCCTCCCCACATGGCACCCCCCTGCCCTCTTCTACCTCCAACAGCTGGACGTAGCTCACATGCAACCTGCCTGTCGCCCTCCTGCCCTTCCCACCAGCTGCCATGCAGCACCCTGAGCCGCTGTCCGCCACAAAGCACAGCCCCTGTTGGTGCTGCTCCACGCTTGCCCCAGGCTTGCAGAGTGTGGCTGGCGGCTGAGCGCTTCACCAGCGCCTGTCGCGGCTCCTTGGGCGATATCCTCACAGGCGGTAACGAGGCTGGCCCGCACCAGAGAGCCGCGGCTTTCTTGCCGGTGACACCAAATCCGCTGGAGGCTTCCCTTGAATGTAACCCTGGAGACCTGAATGCTCTGAGCATTAGCTGACACCACAGTTATCCGGCGAGGGCCCCGCTTTCACTTCGGGAGAGCTGCCCGTTTCCCATCCCCGGGTTAAAGTACAGTTACGAACCCCTGGGTGCATTCAGCGTGTTTCTCGAGCCCATAGCTTCGCTGTTGCTCCAGGTGTGTCGCCTTTGGCCTAGTGCGTTGATGGGAGAAAGGGCTTTTGAGTGATCCCTGGCTCGGCTCGCTGGGAAACACGTGTCCGCTGTGGGCGCTCTGCTAATCAGCCGCGTGGCACCTGAACCTCTGCTGGGCGGCGCCCAAGTGTTCCGCTCACAGGGCGCACTGGCTGCGAGTCCCTCCTGCCACTCCACAGAGGGTGCCAGCAGTGAAATCAAGATCTGTCGAGCTTTACGACTTGGTCCCTCCCTCACCTTTCTGCCGTGAACTTTCCCCAGCACGGCCGGTGCTCCCAGACTGCCTGCTCCGGCCCAGGGTTCCCAGAACGTGAGGCGGGCCCGTTCCCTGGCACCAGGGGCTGTGGGCTGATGCTGTGTGGAACCCTGGGGAGCAACCTTTGGGGGCGACCCTGTGTGGGTGGGGGTCAGTGAGATGGCCCTGTCGCATGCAGTGAGGATCCCCCGTTGCTGACCTCCTTTCTTTCCTCCCCCCAGCTGATGCAGGGAGATCCCCACAAGCTGGATTTCCGGAACGACCTGATCACCTGCCTTCCTGGCACAGGGACCTTTGGGAGCCTCGCTCACGGCCAGGAGCTCACGCGCCCCGCCACGCTCTTCACCCCCGCAGGTCAGCGCCTTCCCGGCCCGAGATCCTGCCCCGTCCCAGCTCTGGGGCTTGGGAGAACTGGGCATAAGAGGGCCCGGGGGGTTGGAAGCTTTCTGAGAGAGGGGGTAATGGGCTGGCTGAGAGGCTGGAGGGAGCTGGGTCAGCTAAGAGCTGTGGGGGCTGGATCCCTCTGCCCCCCAAACTATCTAATGCTCTTTCTGTCCTTCACAGGTGCTGTCCATTCAGGCTCTGGTGCCTCCTTTGGGCCCCCGAGCACGCCACACAGCTCTTTCCTGGGCCCCAGCGCACACATTGGTAAGAGCTGGGAGTGGCTTACCAGGCACCACAGCGAGGCATGGAGTCAGGGGCGATACGTGGACTGTGCCGGGCGCACTGGGGGAGGGGCACCAGGACCCCGGGGGGCAGCTCGGTGCCCGTTTATCCCTCCCTCTCCTCCTCCTTGCTTTACAGATCCCTTCAGCCGCCCCGCCAGCTTCGCTGCCCTGGGGGCGCTCTCCAACGGGGCCTTTGGAGGCCTGGGGAACCCTGCCTTCAGTGAGTAGATCGGGCAGGGCCATGGGCATTAGGGTGGGCTCCATTGCTGGGAAGGGGAGTGGCTGGTCTAGGCCCTGCGTGGGGCGAATCCTAGGGGTCACAGCCCCCCCTGGGAGGGAGAAGGGCAGGTGCGGTGAGAGGTTGGTGGCGGAGTCAGTGTGGGAAAGTGGTGGATGTGGGGTGAGCTCTGGGGAGAGAGCCCCCCCCGTGAGAGAGGGGGTGGGGCCCCGGTGAGGTGGGGCGGGCAAGGCGGGAGTGCAGTCCATAAGGGACAAGTTGCACAGGGTTCACCCTGGAGCAGGGCCTGTGCGGGAGGGGCATGCAGGCCCCATGGTTCCTAGCAACCTCTGTAAGCTTAATCCTGATGGAACAAGGCAGCCCCTCCATGTGGGGGCGGGGCCTCTCTTAGCAGGGGCGGGGCTACGTATGGTGAGCCCTGGGAGCTCTGACTCTGGTCTCTGTGTTCCTGTCCCAGACTCCAGCTCCATGTTTGGGCAGAAGGAGAGCCCTGGGGCCCAGGCCTATGGCAGCCCCCATGACCCCTGGAACCGGCTGCACCGCACGCCCCCCTCCTTCCCCACTGCCCCCGCCTGGCCCAAAGGGGGTGGGGGTGATGCAGCTGAGCGCGGGCCGGCCCAGCATGACAAGGAGCCTGACAAACGGGAGGTGCCTGCTATAAAGGATGAGAAGGACAGGTACGAGCTGGGGGTGGACCAGGCTGGCAGGGCGGAGGGAGACCGATGCAAGAGGGCAGGGGATGAGGGTTGCTGGGGAGGTTTTGGGAGGATCCAGGCAATGCTGGGCTGGTTGGGGATTAGGGGGACCCAATGCATGACGAAAAGGAGGGAGACAGGCTGAGGATTGTGTGGGGCTCAGCCCAGTTTGTGGCACTAACCCCCACCTCTGTTCCAGGGACACCCTCTTCTCCAGGGCCCCCCCTCGTGCCTCGCCGGTGCCCCTCCCCTCTAAGCACCCTGCCTCCCTGGGGCTGGAGGACGTCCCCCTGCGAGCACACAGCGAGCCAAGCCGGGAGCAGCGGTATGGC